AACGAGCAGGAATAACTACGTACTAGCGCATTAGCATACTAACTACAACTCTCGACCGAGCAGGAATACCTACATACTAGCGTACTAGTGTACTAAGTAAACCTCTCAAGCAAGCAGAAATACCTATGTATTAGCGTACTAGCATACTAACTAAACCTCTCGAGCAAGCATGAATACCTACGTACTAGCGTACTGACTAAACCTCTCGAGCAAGCATGAATACTTACGTACTAGCGTACTAACTACAGCTCTCGAACGAGCAGGAATACCTACGTACTAGCGTACTAAGTAAACCTCTCGAGCAAGCATGAATACCTACGTACTAGCGTACTAGCGTACAAACTAAACCTCTCGAGCAAGCATGAATACCTACGTACTAGTGTACTAGCATACTAACTACAGCTCTCGAGCGAGCAGGAATACCTACGTACTAGCGTACTAAGTAAACCTCTCGAGCAAGCATGAATACCTACGTACTAGCATACTAGTGTACTAACTAAACCTCTCGAGCAAGCATGAATACCTATGTACTTGTGTACTAACAACAACTCTCGTTCTTTTCATGCATGCCATGAAATTGAACATTTGATTTAATTAGTCTGTGAAAAAAGGAGTATATTGATAACCATTGGGGTTTGTGTTTTTGTGGTGTGGACCTTATTTTTAATGCGGTAATGTAGTGGAGAACTCGCACTGCTTTTTTTTGGTGATCTCAAACTGACGGTTTTCATTGAAATAAACCATTTATGCATTGCAGTTTTTTCTTTAACCCTTTTAGAAACTATATTTTGGTAAAACAAAGTAAGCAATAAATCCTAATGAATCTTTAATAAACATGAGCTTGAGTATGCTACCTTAGAGAACGTGAAAAATCCGAGATGTTAAATAAACTCGTTCTTATCCAACAAGCGGTAATAGAGTGTGGTTTCAACCTCAAACATTTTCTGTTTCATCTGTCCCTGAGAACACGGAGAAACCGTTTAGGGCAGTTTGTGTCATTGAGAAAAAGAATACCGTTAAAATTGCACTTGCAAAGTTTTGGAATTAAATTATTCATAGAGATGTGTCTTATTAGATATTTTGTTGTGTAGTATCGCTGAGTATTTTTACGAGTTGTGCCGTATTTGCCGTATTTTGTGGTACTCGGTAAGTACAACTCATCACGGCTTGTTGCTCATATGTTTAGTACGCTAGTACTGTAGTACTCGGTCCGGACATTTCATTACGGCTTGTTACTCATTTGTTTAGTGCGTTAGTACCTTAGTACCTTAGTGCTCGGTACGGACAAGTCATCACGCCTTGTTCTGAATTTGCTTAGTACGTTAGTACCTTAGTACTCGGTACGGAAAACTCATCACGGCTTGTTCTGAATTTGCTTAGTACGTTAGTACGTTAGTACCTTAGTACTCGGTACGGACAACTCATCACGGCTTGTTCTGAATTTGCTTAGTACGTTAGTACCTTAGTACTCGGTACGGAAAACTCATCACGGCTTGTTCTGAATTTGCTTAGTACGTTAGTACCTTAGTACTCGGTACGGACAACTCATCATGGCTTTGGAAGGTTTATTACTTAGCCGTAAGACCTATTTGTTTTATCTTCTTTTTTAACCGATTATTTCCTAAATTTATAATTCCTTTGCATATATGTAGATAAACAAATAGAAGAAAGATAGAATTTTTAGGTTTATAATGGGCAAGAACAGCAGAACTTAAACAAGTCTGATCAAATCGGCTTAATTTTAATAGTACGTTAATCATCCGTACTAAGCGAAAAACAAGAAAAAAAGAATCCTATTTTAGGCATGGTCTATCCAAAGTAACCATGCAAGAAACTAAGAAAATTATACAAAACAAATGCTAAAAATGAGACATAGACAGGGGTTTCAGTGGGAACTGGCAAAATCGCAAAATTTGCTCTAAAAACTGCCACCTATTTTTCCTGAAATTAAAAACTTTGGAGTAAAGTTTGAACTTTTATTAGCCACCTACAGATGTACTTTGCTCTCTCTGACATCTGCTTAAAAACTTATTGAAACCTTTACATTAATGTATTATAATGTATTTTACCTCTACCACTTAAAGAAAGGAGTAAAAACATAAATTTATCTTACATTACACAAGTATAGTACTTACCATAATCATCTATCCAAGACTAACCTTCTTTTGAAGAGCCATATACTCATCAGCTGATATTGCTGGTCCTGAAGACATCTTTCTTGGGCCTGATGGCAAAGGAGTTGAAGCAGCTGCTGGAATCTTGCTCAGGGAACTGTTTGATGATAGCTCAGGAGCAGTAGTTGTGCTGGTTTTTGGTGTTGCTAACCTAGAGGAAGGTGGCGATGGTCTGCTACCAACATTCTCTAAGGAACCCCTTGACCCAAAAGACTGAAACAGTGAAGACTTCATAAAGTAAATAAGTTGCTGCTAAGTTTTATTGTCAGGCAAAAAAAAAAAGGATTTTACCAAGGAAATCCTAGCCTTAATAATTCATAATTGTGGCTATGAGATAAAGGAAAATGAGAATCAATCTACTGTTGGTAAAATTTTTCTTCTTTTATGATTAAAATGTTTCTGCAACAGATATTAATAATATAGTGTTTAAGGGATCAAAAGGGCCTGTAATTATACATTCAAGCAACATGTGTTTCAACAAAACCAGTCAACAATAGAGGAAAAGTTCAATTTCATCTTTCAGTAGTATAACTGAGATCAATTATTTTTTAAATTTTTTTAATCTATAGTAATTACTTCTTCAGAAATCCATGGGAATATGAACCCACTTGTATATACAACCACAAACACACACAAGCCATGCTGATACACAATTTAAATTTGATGAAATAGTAACAGTGAATTGGATGAGGAAGGGGTCTTAAGCATCACAACAGCATGAAAGCATCACTCGTACACGTACCTTCTCTTTCCTCATTGATGATGGTAAAGGAATGGAAGTTCCTCCACCAATGCTGCTGCGAGTGGACGATCCACGCTGAGGTGATGGGGAGGTTGGTGCATCCTGAAGAACAGCTATTTGAGACTGACGCACAAAGATTCCATGGTTCTCAGCACATTTGAAATACTCTTTTCCCTGCACTAAATCATGAATGTACAAAAGAAATTCTTCGCCACCAGCAACATGTTACATACTGTTCTAAAATGAAGTTAGAGAGATAGTGTTTCTGAAAACATTTTTTATGATATAGCTCACAATACAAGTTGATGCAATGAGGCAAATCCTGTTTAATGTTTGGTCAACCAAGTAGGCAAGTTTAACCTATCCTACCACCTTACACAAGTAGCTTGTTCTACATGAGATGCTTCCATCATCAAAAAATATTACAAGAAAAGCCCATTAAATTCAAGTAGCCTGAGGAGCTATTTTGCAGAAAAAAGAAACCACAAAGGCACAAGTCCTGTAAATTAATTTACTTACCACACTAGCCTGCTTAAGTTGTACAAAAGAATATTGGCCCTCAGTTCATAATTATCACGACCTTGTACCAATATTTCCTATTACAGTCCTCAAGCTCAGTTTGTATGATTATGTAAAGTAAATATTTCTTTCCGCATGTGACTTTGGTCATGGTCATTTCATACCGAGTTGTTTCATACACAAATGTACTAGATTTCGCTCCGACGAAGGGCTAACGCTCCAAACATCAGCTTTTATAATCGTTACGGTGGCCAATTTACCATTTCAACTTTGTTGATATATCCAAATTATTTTGTTACTCCCACCGACGCAGCCCCAAACAGTTTCTTTCGAAACTATCAGCCTTTATTCATGACTAGATTTGTACCCTAGTTTGAGTCAGTTCATACCCAAGTTTGATTCAGTTTATACACAAGTTTGAGTCGGTTCGTAACCAAACTCCTGATGAATTCATTCAATTACTTGAAATAAAACATATATCAATCATTGTGTATGACAAGCTGGTAGAGTCAAATGAGTGAGATGCAATAAAAATTCTGTAGTGTATAATTGTGATTTTCTTAACAAAAACAACTTAATATTACCTAGTCCAAGGTAAGTACGGTATTTTTTAATAGAAAAAGTCTTGTAGATACTTGTGATTTTTTTAACAATAACAGCTTGAGTGAGAGTAATATTTTTTTGCCAATTGTGTACAAGGAGAACATACTTTATTAGTTTGGGTACAATATGACCATGCTTGATTCTAAATGACTCAACTGACTGAGTACTAAACAACTGGGCATGAAATGAACTTCTGTATAAAACAACCAGAGTGTTACCAAATACCCTGAGATCGAAAGTTTATACAATTTTCAAATCAGTATTTGAACCTGTATACATATTTTCTCTATACTTAAAGTTACTTTACACAGATTATGGATAGTAACCTTTGGTTTAAATCCAAAAAAATGTGTTGAAAAATGGCCATTCAATAAAGAATTTTTTACAATATCCAACGAGTACACTATATGAACAAATAGATGGAAGTTTAAGATTATTAGATTGGTTTATTAACCAATCTGTTGATTTTACCTCACTCAGCTTTTATTTTTCCCAAGCCCTATTCGATCGTGATTAAAATGACAAAAACACTTAATATTCACACTTGAATCTTCCTACCTGAACCGTCGTTTTTGCCTTTTGGTTCATCTAAAATAACTCCGATCCACTTTCCAGAGGCAAACATGGTAGCTCCAACATAAGCCACGGTTCCCACAAGGCCTTTCCCAACAACTTCCACTCTCATTCCAGTCTTTGCATTGGGCCCCGACATCTCGATCTAAATTAATCTTCTGATGGCCAGTACTATTTTCCACAAAAATTAGCGGATTTTCTAATGCACAAAAGAAATAAATTGAAGAACAAATTCTACATTTCTGTCTTTCAAGCACTCCCTTCCAAAATGGCGGTCTAGGAAGTACGCATGCTCAGATTCGTTAGAATGTTTTTGTGCCTAGTCCTTACTCTTTCGATCGGTCATTTAAAGCAACCCTTAAACCTATGTAACCAGGCCTCAAATACAATTAAAATTAAGATGGAGGACAAGGCAGTAGGTATGCGAGGTTGTTTACAAATTAATATCAATTATTAGTCTCTGACGCTTTGATCGCTTTTATTATCCTTGTATAATTATCTTCAGGTTTTCATTTTAAAGCCTTTTCAAAGTTAGTGCTCAGAAAATGAATGCGAAACCATCTCGTCTATGTTGCTTCTTAATAACAAATATAGTTGAATGAACATAATTATGTGTTCTCTGATTTTATTTTGACAAAGACGAAGAAGGAGACATGGCTCGTGTGAGGCATCGCCAGCGGCGTGGGATGCTGAAGATGTATTACGGGGTTGGTGAAGAATCCGGAAAGACAACAGAAATCGATTACAGTGACATCAATGGTGCACATTTCAAACCTGCTGTATATTTGGAAAAACTTTTCAAAGAGAAATCCTTGAACGATTTGTTTGATAAAGAAGCAGATATATCGAAACGTAAGAAAACGTTGATGCAACAGACATAATACACTCAATGGGATTAAAGTCAGAATCTGAGCAACTGCTCACTTACCCCTCCCCTAACACAACGTTAAACCTAACTTGTTATTAGTTGACTTCTGTTGTGTTAGGGGGAGGGGTGGGAATGCAGTTGCTCAGACACAGCCGTTGACACATAATATTGGTACACTGTAAATTACTGTATTTATTCACTTATAAGGTGTACCATTTTTTACGAGAAAATATGCTTGTTTGATCAAAATCTGCTCAAAACTTGGGGTGCATCTTATAACCGAGTATTTTCGCGCAACAAAATCTTAAGATCACAACTTTAGCAGAACTTACAGGAAAAGAACCCTAATTGTTGGTCATTAACTTTTTTAGATCTGGTGGTTCTAAAAAGAACTAGGGTGGCTCTGAAAAGAGCCGTTGTGGTGGTTCTGAAAGAACCGTTTCTTATATGGCCTCCATCAAATGACCACGAAACTAATCCCACACAAGCAGGGCTTTTTGGTCTGAGATGTAATGAAGATTGCGTATAATCCAATTCTTTATTCCAATAAATTAAAAAGGAATACTGCTTTAGAACACTGATCAACTTCAAAAGATCAACAACAAAAGCAAACATTTACTGCAAAAGCAAACAAATAGAAATTTGCATATGTTCTTAACAGCATGTCCTCGGTAACATGATATCCATGACTACAAAACATTCGTTCGAACCATGTTTCAAATTCCTAGAAACGTGTTTGTGTCGCTTGCTCAAAAAGTTCGTATCTGAATAAACAATGTGGAGGTAAAACCTACCTTTTTCGTCCATCCAGCCTTTTTTGCGAACTCTCAAACTTTTGGTGCATCTTATAACCAAGTATTTCACAGAACTTTCCATTTGGGAACTTGGCTTGACTAATTTGCCAAGTTTGGGGTGCGTCTTATAACCGAGTGCGTCTTAACTGAATAAATACATTAAACATATTTGGTAGTTCTTCTCATTAGTGACACTTACCCTGCCCACCAATATGGTGTTCAAAACAGTTAAAGACTGACGTGGTCTATATCATATGAAATTTTATGCAGTTTTTGTCCTGTGTTTTTCCTCTAGTTTTATTTATATCTGAATTACAGAAATCAGATCTTTGGACAGTGAGATGCAGACCCTGGTGTATGAAAACTACAACAAGTTTATTAGTGCAACTGACACCATAAGAAAGGTAGTGAAAATCAAGTTTACTAAAGCTACAAAGAATACCAAATAGCTGCACTGTATCAAATGATAAATATTCTCATGGTGGCTCCCTTAAACATCTTCATACATTAAAATCTGTGGATTAAAAATTTTGAATACACTTTCTTAGCATAACTTATACAATAATGCTCTTACACGATGGTAGTGAACTCAAAAATCAACAATTTCAGAACTCCATGGTGGCTGTTTTGTCTTGTGGTTTGTTTATGAACTCTGCGGGCGTGACCACATACCCCTTTCAAGTTCTGGCAAGTCAGTTTCCCTGAGGTTTTAGGTTGTACTGAAAAGTAGAATGTAAAGAATTTTGAGAAAGGTTGGTCTCATGAGCATCAGCTTTATTACAGCAATGAAACAATAATATCATTTGTTTATATATTAAACAATCTCCCTTCATCCAGACCTAACCTTCTCATGAACCCAATGTAGACTTCTGTAGATTTTTCCTAGGTTTTTCTAACACAACCAGTTAAGACAAAATATGTTTTTCTATTCATTTTATTTCATTTACAGATGAAGCATGATTTCAAGAAAATGGAAGAAGAGATGGATAAGCTTAAGAAAAACATGTCAACAATCACAGATTTCAGTGAAAAGATAACAGGTACACTGCAAGGAAAAAGGCAACAGATCACAAAGTTGTCAGGTGTTCATGCACTACTGAAAAAGGTAGAGTTTTCCCTGTTTTATATTATATTCTGTTTGAAAAAATAACGTGGTTTTTAATTTAAATACTTCAATTTTCAGTTTTCGTTAAGACTAAAACTTGGAAAGTATGGACAGTTATTTTTTAACTTAGAAAGCTTAGGAATCTTCAAAAAGGAGAGGATGTCATGAGTTTTTTCAAGAATTGGATGCAGTTGGAATAGCATAGCTGAATTTATGCATATGACCTCAGCTAAAGTCCATCATTAGCACATTCACAAAACTCTCAATTTGGGGGTTAAACCTAAGCAGCTGCCACAATTTGTATTCTACTCAGCACAATTGATTTAACTCATAACACTGAGTCTGGAAAATAAAGTTCAGAAAAATTTATGAATTTTGCAACCAAAAATGTGACTATAGATATAAGTCTTGAAATCAACTTTATACCGAAATCATCCTAACTAAACAAGCACAAATACTAGTAATAACATCCAACTTAAAAAAAAAATTGGTTATGATGAAAAGTTTACAGTTGAGCCAAGTGGCCCATTCAGGTGGAATCTATTAGGATTTCTGTGATAGAACATGAAGCAACTAGGGGTAATGCCACCCCCCAGGATGAGATGCTAGTTCATTACAGGTTATCTACCCTCCCCCTTCCCCCATCCCCCTCTCCTTCCCCCCTCAACATGTCATTAGGCCAGCTCCGACAGTTTCTGTTACCCATTTATACTCCTGCTTGGAGAGAGGCACTGTCAGAGTTAAATCTCCAGCTTAAGAACACAACAGAAGGAGGCAGCATGGCTGAGTGGTCAGCGCGTTGGACTCAATCCGCTGCTCATGGGTTCGAGTCCCGCTCTGACCACCACCTGGATTTGTTTCACGGTAGCTCCAAGTTCAAATCCTCGGCCACGCTCATAAATAGTCAACTGGTTTGCCTCCGGCCAGTTGGGATTCTTAACAATTTATGTTCTATTTGAATTATTTGTTTCTGTTGTTTATTGTGGGCCTCCTGGAAAGTAGCTTGTAGCTAAGTGTGGTGCCCCATTAAATAAAAATTACTTACTTACTTTACTTTATGCATGGCTGGGTCCTAAGCTTGTATCTCTTTAGCTGGATTCCAGGAGGCCAACTGTTAAGCCACTTGATGTGCAATTTGCAGAAGATGGGTGCTCAGTTTAATTGTATGTTTTTGCTACATTTCTTATTTCAATTTTTACTTAACAGCTCCAGTTTTTGTTTGAGTTGCCATCAAGACTGAACAAGTGTGTTGAGATGAAACAATATGGAGTTGCTGTCAGGTATATTGCCAGTTAAAAATCTCACTGAAGTCATTGAATTTCATAAGAAAGGCATGATGGTAGATGTGCCAGTTGACTTTCTGAAATTTTACTTTTAATTTAATTTTATTAATTTGATTTAATTTATTGTTTTGCAGATATTACACAAAAGCAAGAGATGTCTTGCACCATTACAGTCATATGCCATCATTCAACAGCATTCACCAAGACTGTGATGAAATAGTAAAACAGCTGATTGTTCAGCTGAGAGAACAACTCAGAAATCCAAAGGTTATCACTATTTTACATCTAGCATTCCAACTCTAAGTAGTATAGAAGACTTCTTTCAGCCTTTTCTTGTCCATATCCAATATATTTGTGAGGGGTATGCAGTTGCTCATCAAAAAGCTGATTTACATAGTCCAAAAGTGATGTCTTCACGTATCACATTGTTTTAACCTAGACATGAACTTAATATTAAATTTTGATTTCAGTTTATAACAAAAATCGCATTGCTAACATACTTTACTTTTGTTGGTCAGAATGTGTTAAAAACCAATAGGTGACATTAAACAATGTTATTTTTGTCTTAATTTATACAGTCCACGCCCAAACAGTTGGCAGAATGTGTTGATCTTCTCCTACAACTGAGGGAACCAGCAGATGAACTGTGTGATGAATTCTTAGCACAGTAAGACTTTAAAACTAAACAGGGTGAAGTTCTGTAAATTTGAATGCCTAATCTGAGCAGGGAACATGTTGAAGACAGACAAAGCCCTGTGTAATTTAGCCAGAGTAACATTCAGAACAACCTTTTGGCCAGGACAACACTTAGCTGAAATATTGCAATTTTTCTTGTTCTTTTATGTTAACAACTCAGAACTGTTGTTGTTTTGTATGATTCTTTTCTCAGATACTATTTTTGTTACTAAAATACTAAATAAATTTAATTTGATAGTAGTCATTTTATCTTTGGCATTGTACCATGTACGAGTCTAAATTGTTCTGCTTGGATTTAATGCACTGATTATCATTATTATTGATTGCAAATAGTGCACAAGAGAGACTGGATGAAAATCTTAAAATGCTTAAAGTGCAAGTGGAATTGAAGTTGTCAGGAGATCTACCAGCAGCCACTGAAGGTGGGTTTCTCATTTGTTTCCATTTCATACATTACAGAACTTCTCTGTTAACAACTCTCAATGTTGAATCCTGAGTTGTAACAAAACAAAGTTTTTCCCTTGGAGACTCTGCATTTTTTACCTTGAAAGGGTGACAAGAAATTTTTTTTCTTACAGCCATGGCTGGCCTTTGTGATGTGAATGATGAAAACTTCAGTCACTTATTGATTACGTGCTTCTCTGGACATTGATCACATTTATCAATTGTAGTCTGCATGGGCATCAGTTGATGAAGTACACTAGATAAAGCTGTATCTAGTTCAATTAATGTAAATCCATGTGATTGTCAAGTAGCAAATGGCAATCAAATTTATTTAGCATGCAAACCCAGAGATGTATATTAATGACTTTATCTGTGTTTAAAAAAAAAGAGGGAGAAGAAAAAGATCAAGAACAAGATGAAGAAAGAAAACCAGTGAGACCCATGGTGAGTTATCACTTGTCTTATGTTATTCCTTCTTATTACTGCAAGGTGTGAATTGCAGAAGATTGTGTAAAACTCAAAATGATTTAAAAAAAAATCAATTACTGGTATATTTAATATGTTTTGGCAACAGAGCATCACCAACAATTATGCAAACAACAAACAACTAGTAACAAAATGGCCTTACCAAGTAAAATTCTTACACCTGCTTCTAAAACATGCTTCCATGATTTGACTTAAGACTGGTGATGAATTAATAGATTGTTGTTTTTCAGAGAACCAAATTAAAGGTGATCTTTCCTTAAACTTCTTATGAAATTCAGGTTCAAAAAATACTTACAGGGCCCACTGGGTAACATCAAACAGAAGTAGGTTTGATAAATCCAAATGAAAAAGAAGCGAGGAAAACAGAATTGGAATGCCTGAAGAGAATGGGAAGTTCAACTCAGAAACAATACTGCTTAGTAGAGTCATAAATGTTTTGTGTTAGTTGGTCAGCAACCTGGAAAATTTTTTCCACAGGACTTATTGGAGTTCATTGACTGTGGCTGTAATGGCTTCTTGAGTACAATTTGCTTGGTGATCGCATCCTACAAGGAACAATTCATTCAAAGGCAGATGACAGAGTAAGAAGAATATTAATTTTGATAATGTCATTCCATTCTTCAGAAAAGTGCAATTTTGTCAGAGTGAAAGCCAGAGTTGAATCCCAAGTTCTTATGAACCAAGAACTCAAGAAACTGGGCTCAAGAAGTTCTCCCACTATCCCTAATAGGGGTTGGGTCCTTAAGCAGCCATTTAATAGCATTTGGTTGTAATCTTGTTGCATTCCAGGTTGTTTTCATTTTATTAATTGAAGGAATGCCAGTTTTCATGAAAAAGAGGAGGCAAAGAGGTGACATGGAAATAGGCACCCTCTCCCCCGACCTCCCTAGCTATGCCTCTGACCACTTTAATTTTTCCCCGGATGATAAGAGAAATTTAAGGATTGTTCAGAAAAAAAATGCCTAAGGTGACTTCTGGTGGACTGTTACATTCCCCCTCCAAATTTTTCAGTACTCCAAAATGAATCCCAGAGAATTTATGTTGCATAAAGTATCACTTAACAGGCTTTATTCTGTCCGTCCAATAAACTTCCATGAGAGAGGGCCTGAAGGTTTGAGGAAATTTTAGTGATGCTGGGAATTCTCTATACCTTAGTATCTCAACACTCAGAAGAATGTGAATTACCTATGCCTCTTCTAGGCATGGTCAAGATCAGCAAAATTTGGCAAAGATAGTTACAGAGAAACTATCCAGTTTCATTTTATCATTGATGAATGAATACTTCAAACTTACAGAAGCCAGGATTGAACTAGAGGTGATATGTTGCTCTGATTTCTGTTAACCCTTTGACCCTAAAGAGTGACTAACATGTAATTTCTCCTAACAACATCACCTCTGAATCACTCATTAAGGTCAGGTGAATAAAGGAAATGATCACTAACTAAAGAAGCTCTTGATTGTTAAACAAATTCTCTTCGTCAGAATCTTAAGAAATATGTGGAGAACAGAAGGGAGTCTGTGCAATGCTGATGTAAAGGTGTGAACGGTTGATCTACAGACGTGAAACTCAAAAAATTATTGGCAAGAGCACCATTGATTTATGTGGGAACAGTTACTCCAGGTCCTGTAGTTTCTATAGTGTAAAAAAGTGAATTCAGTAAAACCTATTTTCTATGTGTTGGAAATTCGTCTATGAAGCAAAAAGAAAAGATCTTGTTCATGACAGCTGAACATATGTACACTTGAAAGCCTCTTCCTTTCATCAAACGGATGAAAGACCCTTGAATTTAAGAAGTCATATGAGAGAATTATACACGTCTTGTGTATACTTCATTTAATAACCTCCTTAAAGCTCTCTTTTTCTGGTTCTTTCAGTCGGAAACTGGTGACAATGTACTTTTAGTGCGTGCATTAGACCGGTTCCACCGAAGACTTCAAGCTGTCCAGAAGCTCCTTCCCGAGATTGGTGTGGGACGGTAAGTTCCCGTAAAATAGTTGCACTTTTCTATGAAATTTCTTCTGAGGATTGATCAAGCACTTTTGTTGGACTCTGCCAAACTCGTGCAAAATTTCCAAGGTCAACAATAAACCTCTCCCCTCTGCTGTTATTTTACTTTGTGAAAATTACCTCATCCTTGGTCAAGATCTTACTCACTCAAGCATACAATATTCGAGTTATTGACTTTGTCCATTTTTTTTTAGTTCGGGAGCAAACATAGTGGCCCGGTCTGCTCACAATAGGGTGAAAGACTACTCGAAAAGCCTTCGACAGCACTTTGCTGGTAAGTACTCTTGTGTCAGTCTTCCCTTTGATCACAGAGCAGGTCGACAAGCTCGCGGTATACGTAAGGCTAACTTCTCATTACACTCCTGTGTTTTGTCAACTGTGAACAATAGCTGACAGAAGCTTATATTTTCCCCAAAATTGAAGGCGTTCTAGGTATGGCTGCAATGCATCACAAACGTTTCCGTGTTCGAAGTGCAAGTTTCATGTGATGTTGTCATGGGTTTGTCCAAGATTTAGGGGCCGGTTATTTAAACAAAGCTTAGCCGTTGTTTAACGAAACCGCGTCCTAAGCCATCTTCTATTTAGCCGAACCTTTGGTCTGATCATTTATTTAAAATTTGTGGACAGTGTTAAAGGGGCCGAAAGCCTATAGTGGAAGGACATTTACTTAATTAAATCAACCCTTTTAGAGAGAATCCCTGAGGCTCACTGCTTGCGTAAACCGCAGTCAGGTTTAGGTTACACCTCGTGTAAATAACTGGCCCTAAGCGCCGTGCAACTTAACGTAAAAGCGTTTTAAGAAGCAGAGCTGTCTCTTACAAAGATCTCTGTCAATAGTTTGGAAAAGAGCTCGTCAGAAGCCGCGAGCAGGTCCTAAGTAAAACCATTAACCTGTAACTTTTTACCAAGGCATAGCTTGGGAACAGTCCCTCATTATTAGCCCTGCAGCACGAGTGTTTCTTCGTCCACAGCCCTCAACACCCTAACGTCAGTATGTATTTTCTCCGTACTGTTCTCTATACATTACCTAAGGTTCTGACTAGGAGAATTGTTCAACAATCAAGAGCTTCTTTAATTAGTGATCATTTCATTTATTCTCATGACCTTGATGTGTGATTCAGGGGTGAGATTGTAAAGAGAAAAGAGATACCAGTCACTCTTAAGGAGCAAAGGGGACAAAGCGAGCTAGCGAGAGGTCCGCAAAGGGTGTGCCACTCGCACTCAATTTTCTCGCGGGTGAAGAGCGTTCGTTGCGTAGCGCTGATGATGATGTGGCTTTTTTCGCGGGCTAATCAACGATTCATTTTAAAATTCATGAAAGTTAAAGAACAGATTGGAATGGTATGCTCATGAGTGCTACACATAAGCTTCCATGACAGCAGTTTTAGTTGCTTTTATTGTATTTGTGTTAAGTTTGTTTAACAGATACCAGACAAACATTGGCAACTCCGTCAGGAAGCGACAAGCCACCTTCCTTGTCGGATTTGTTGTCTACCATGACTAACTCTCTCACCAATCAAGTGAAACTAATCCTCAGCAGCTTGAAGGTTTGTAAATCAGTCAAGCACTTACTCGCCAACCCACAAAATCACTTAATAATCTCAATCAATTAATCAGTCAGTCAGTCAGTCAGTCAGTCGCTCAATCGCTCAATTAATCATCATTCAGTCAATCAGTTAATCAGTCAATCGGTTAATCTGTTACTGACTCAACTAGTAAGTTAGTAAGTCAACTAGTCAGACGGTCAGTTAGTCATTTTTTTCGGTCGGTCAGTCCATCAGTTAGCTTGCTTGCAGGCGGTAGTTTGTGTCTTCAAGCGCGAGATTCAGTGCGGCGAATATTCCGTCGCCATATTGGACGGATGGAAGATTTGGGACGAGTGACAAAGCTTTGTCACTCTACCGCCGGCAAACAGGGTATCGCTCTGACAAAGGGCTAACGCTCGAAACATCAGCTTTTTAACTCTTTACGGTGGCCAATTTACAATTTCAACTTAGTTGATATTACCAAATTACCTTGTTACCCCCACCGACGCAGCACCACAGTTTCTTTAGAAACTTACCCCCCTTATCTATCAGTGATTCTGCTAATCACGTTTAAGTAGAACCCTAAACATCTCAAAGTCAAATCTCGCAAAAACCTTCGTGGGTGAATTAAAAACCATTTCTGACATCATGTTTTCAACAAATACATAATGTTAATAAACTGTTATTGGACAGCTGATATCTGGTTATCAATTAGTTGCTATGTACCAGTTGCACAATTAGTTTTACCTATAACGTCATGTTAACAGAACGATGTCATTTTATCAATCGGTTAGTTTGTCTGACGTCACTCACTATGGAAATAGATGTCAGGTACTAGAAGCAAAAAAGCGTAAGTTCACATGCCCGAGTTCCCTTGCCCTTAGATAAAATACCAAAAGTCTTCGATAAACTGGGCATGTGATTCATATTCTTTTTCAGACCTTCATTGGATCAGACATTACTTTCGCCGTGAAACCATACTTCCGAGGACCTTTCTGTTCAGATGATGTCCGGGAGTGCGTGGTAGTAGAGTTTATACGTCACGTGCTGCGATCAGCTAAGGTCAGTGACGAATGAACGATAACGAGGCTGCTGTAACTCACTGGTTACATGGTAGATGATACAGCGCTTTTCGATTAAGTCTCGTAAAACCAAAAACAAAGCAATCGAGACAGCCAA